ACCCAAACCCAAACCCAAACCCAAACCCAAACCCAAACCCAAACCCAAACCCAAACCCAAACCCAAACCCAAACCCAAACCCAAACCCAAACCCAAACCCAAACCCAAACCCAAACCCAAACCCAAACCCAAACCCAAACCCAAACCCAAACCCAAACCCAAACCCAAACCCAAACCCAAACCCAAACCCAAACCCAAACCCAAACCCAAACCCAAACCCAAACCCAAACCCAAACCCAAACCCAAACCCAAACCCAAACCCAAACCCAAACCCAAACCCAAACCCAAACCCAAACCCAAACCCAAACCCAAACCCAAACCCAAACCCAAACCCAAACCCAAACCCAAACCCAAACCCAAACCCAAAAACCCAAACCTAAAAACCCAAACCCAAACCCAAACCTAAAAACCCAAACCTAAAAACCCAAACCTAAAAACCCAAACCTAAAAACCCAAACCTAAAAACCTAAAAAATATTTAAGTCCAGACCCAATGTTTCAAAGTTCAAACCCTAGCCCAATTTATTGATTGTTATATCATTCGATTGTAAATGATGAGTAGAACAATGTATTATATTTAGTTTTTCAATTTATAAAATATTAACTTTGTAAATAATGTAAGATTAAAAATTTGTAAAATGAAACCATAGGAAGAATGATAATTTCAAAATCCTTTAGTGAGATTATATAGTAAATATCATCATTAACAACATTTATAATCACTTTCATATCAAATTTCAAAAGTTCAAGTCTGTAGATATAAAAGTATTGAGTGAAAAGGGAAGTAGTGAGGTACAATAGGTCAACTATAACTTTTGAGTTTCTCATCAAAACATATTAAATCCTGACATGAAAATGTTCCATTTGATTAGTAAACATCGAATATCAAATTTATTTTAACTTTCATATTTAAAGATTTCTTCCCTCAATCACACATATGGTCAACTTGTATGAAAAGGTGGAAATCTTGAAAAAGGACCACCTATTGAAACTTTACCATCATGATGTAGATGGTCTATAATGATGTACAATTCAATTTCATATCATAAGAATCAGAAATGGTACCATGGGAATGTAAATGTTGATTTTATAAAGTTGACTTTAAGGAAAGACAAGTCAGACCAACTCTATCAAATATATCACTTCAATCAATAAATTATATATGAAAA